AAAAGAAGGATATATTACACGACTTTATTACAACCGCGAGACATTATTTGGGGGGTGAAACTATGAGACGGAAAAGTGGAGGACAAACAAACTTGAACTAATAATTTGTGTGTAGCCTAGGAAGGATGGTGGTCACTTGCTGCATGTGTTTGGTTGTGGGCTCTTTCCTTCTCTTTGACTTCACTTCCTTGGTTATCATCTTCCTCATATTCTACATTTCTACCCCTGCATCACGTTGAAGTTTGAGTTATTTTACAAGATAGATTCTATGATACTCATAAGGTACCATACCTTTGTCAACATGGACCAATCAAAATGTTGCAGTTGAATTATTTAAGTCTAAGTTAAAATTGATATATCTATGTGGACCAATCAAATGTATGACAGGTACGGTACCTCATTTTTTAAATGGGTACCGGAGTTCTCACCATTTTACAAATGATATAATCATATAACTATTTAAGTCTACTAATTGCACTAGACTTGTTGAATACTAATTGAGTGAACTAAATGGAAAAAATGGAAGATACTAATTGAGTGAACTAAATGGAAAAAATGGAAGAATTAGACTGTACTGGACTTCAATTCAGCCTACCAGAACACTAATCATTCTATCATTGTCATAATAGGTTTAGTAGAATATTCCAAAAAATGTGTTTTGTAATTTAGGTAAAAATAATAATTATATCCTATACCTATTTACAATTAATTCATCATTTTCTAGCAATTTTTTAGGAAAATTACGCTTTCTTTGAGAAAGCGTCTTCGATGTAAATGGAAGCAAAAAAGTGGAATAGCTATTAACCTGCTGGAGCACTTGTATGAAGAATTTGGTCATCATCATGCAGGGTGGTATTTCCTCCATAAATGCCTCCAGGCAGGGGCGGATCCCGAAAATACAATTATTGGGGACACTTTACAAGTAAATTTATTAAAGACGGAAACAAGAACATGTAACACATGTAATACATGCAATTTATATAACATTATTCTAATACAAAGTGTTTTTCTTCTATAGTAGTACTTCATTATACTTTTTAATTTGTTCCAAAAATTTGATTTATAATAAATCAAAGTAAATTAAATTATAAATTTAATTAATCATTAACTAATTAAGGAGGAAGTAAATACAAAAGGGAGTGTGTAAAAAAATGTTTTTCAGCTTTTGACTTAACAAAAGTTGAAATAAGTGTTTTCAAGTTATAGTTTTGCTTAAATTTAGCACTTAAAAGCTAAAAGCTGAAAGCTGGTGGAAGAGTGTTTTAAACTTTTATTCACTTTTTCTATTACACAAAATAATTTATTTTACTAATTACTGTCAAATTTTCCTTATTGCAGGAGTGTTTTTTTCTAAACACTACCAATTTTTTACTAATAAACACTTTCTGTGAAATCACTAAAAAATCATACTAGAAGAATGACAAACACTCCCTAAACTTTTACTTATTACAGGAGCATTTTTCTCAAACACTACCAATTTTTACTAATAAGCATTTTCTCTATAATCACTAAAAAAATCATTTTTTTAATAGAAGAACGACAAACACTCCCTATATATATAGAATGACTAACAACGTATCATTCCATATTAATAGCCAACACAATCAAAATCTGTCATAATTGACACAAATAATAAAGTTGGATTTATATATATGTAGTTAATTAGATGTCTCGAGTCATGTATCCAGGGTTAATGTAAACACATAAGCTATAAGTTATTAAGTAAACCTCAAAGGAAATCAACTAATTCAAATTTATAAATTATCTGACAAACAATGAACTAATTAATATATACTCCGTAACTAATAAGAAATGAATAAGTTGTATTAATTGAAAATAAATTAAAAAAAATTGAAAAGAAATTAAGCAAAATAATGAATAGAAAGGAGTAGCAACATGGGTTGTGTGATTATTGGAGGACTCGCTGGTTAAAAGGGGGAAACTGTGAAAGGGTTCGACTTTGTAGGGTTGATCCTCCATTTCTTTTGTGACAGGCTTTACGAATTAGAATAAGAGTATAACTGTATAAGACAAATGTTAACAAATGTAATGGGGGCATACAAAATTGACAAGATTAATAAATTAGAGATGCTATTGCCTCCGATTAAAATAAATTAGTGACAAAATTTATTGTTGGGGGCCTTCTACTATTAGTTTTTTAAAATTAAATTTTGTAGTTAAAAGTTAGATAAATTGATATCTCGTTGGGGGCATGTGCCCCCATTGTACATCGGCCCCTGCCTCCAGGCTCCAACCCCTTCCTCTTCTGACCTTGTGGCATATCCTTCCCCAAATGATTGACAACATCGCGTCCCTTCCCATACGTTGTTACATAACGCAGAATAAATTGATCATAACTAAACCAAAAGATGTATGAAATATTGTAAGATTAGCATTAAGCGCGCTCTATGTTTATTACAAGGCCATTTTAGCACATTTTGAACTTAAGTTTAATGAACATAGACTCGTCTCGTTTGGATGTTTGGACTTAATTACGCAAATCATGTTTGATGATACTTTTGCATTTTATCTAGTGACCAGTATTTCAAACGTGTAGATGAACTGGTCTATTTCATTTGATTTAGATTTCGGTTTCAACAACCTTTCACAAACTTTTATCTAGTAATAATTTGTGAATTGACTAATGGCAACCTCCAAAATAGATCTATACATTTGCCTATCTACAAAACTAATTAAAGTGATAGATGATAGATCTAGTGGAGCCTGATGAAATGCCTTTGTGGAGTTGTGGAACGTTTTACTCCGTAAATTTGAATTTAGAAATAGGGAAAACTGTCAAATAGGTCCTCGAACTTTCATAAAAAAGTCAATTAAGTCCTTCTATAGGAGACTCTGTCTGGCCGTCGCGATTTGGGGCGGTTCCCGGTGGAATTTTTTGATGAAATTTTTTGAGCATCTTATTCATCAAGTCTAGTTTATTCATACCAAAGTTCAGCTAAAAATTCAATTGGGAACGTATTCAAATTAATTCGAGAACGCAAAAATGCACAATTATCTTCACGAATTAATTTGAATGTGTTCCCGATTGAATTTTTAACTGACATTTGGTATAAGTAAACTAGACCTGATGAATAAGATGCTAAAAAAAATTCATCAAAAAATTCCATCGGGAACCACCCAAAATCGCGACGGCCGGACATAACCTCATATAGAAGGACTTAATTGACCTTTTAATGAAAGTTCGAGGACTTATTTGACAGTTTCCCCTTAGAAATATGATGTCCTCCTCGACTTCATGAGAACAAGTTATCAAGGCCATCAGTTCAAATCATGCAACACCCGTCTATAGCATATTAAACACATATAAGTATAAAACGCTCGAAATAAGGGCATGTTTTTACTAAAAAAACAGACAACCCTATATTTAAACGAAGTTTTTTTTTTGAATGAAAACTAAGACTATTCTTATGTTCAGTTTTTAGACTGAAGTGACTAAAATTTCACTCTAGAATTTTTTACTGGTTTCAATCCTAGACCAAATCATATCAAACTTAATCTACCAGACCATACCATAGTTGAAGAAAGCATACAAAATCACGCTGGTCGCTGGATCATAAAATTAAAGTCAAGTAAAGACATCTTTAATTTCTAGTCATTTTCATCATTTTTTGTCAATAAAGTTACAATAACATATTTAAGAATTACACTGAGATTTCAATATATTTATAATAAAGAATCCAAATTTGACAAAAATCAGGACTCAAACTTATGAATAAACAAATTAAATTGATAATACGAATTCTAAATTAACACAGTTGAATAGCGCAGAAAACGTATACAATTTGAAAAAAATTCATTAATATTACTCTTTAAAATGTGATGAACAAAATATTACTTAGTAACTATTAGTAACTATAATTGTGTTCAAAATTACATCTTAGTAATTACATATAAGTTACTATGATGTAAAGTTTAAACATAACTATAATCACTAATCGTTACTAAGAATAATACTTTTGTCTATGACTTTTTATTAGTAATATTTAAGGAAAACTGACATACAATTTTCGTCCATATTTGTTTAATTAGTTATCATTTTTTGCACTATTGGACAAGTACGTAGCAAACTAAAACACCATAATACAGTAATATTTTAAAATAACATTAATGATTAAAACTTAAGTAACTTTTTGAAAGGATTAAAACTGGAGTAATTCAAAATTAAAAATATTATAAATTTTGAATATTTTAACATTATATACTTCAAAGGGAAAGAGGGTGATACATGCACTCTTTGGTCCTTATTTGAATCTATCATATTTTTAGCTTATAGATTATGCTCAGAAGAAAGTATTTCGATAATTTGATAAATTCTACAGTTAGCAGAAGTAAAATAAATAGAGTAATAGAGTGTACAAATAATATCTTATTTTCTTCATAAAATACAACTCATTCAATTCCCTCCTAATTAATTTGAGAAGTTTAATTTGTACTTTCAACATACACAAATGAAGTAACAATGTATTAATTTATTCTTTTTTTTGGAGTTGGCGCATGTCCATAGCATTTGCTCTTTTAGTTTTGGTTATACTTTTATTTATTACTCCATATGGGGGAGTCTGGAAGAGAGGGTCTAGGGCATGGAGTAATTAAGGCTGAAACTTGTGAGTTTTGAACCCGAGATCTCCCATAAGGGAGAGTGAGTCGGCTGGACCAGCTGGGCGTTTCACGTAAAAAGCGCGCCTCCTTTTGACCTTTTTCCACTAGTGCATCCTAATTCCTAATCATATACTCATATACCGTAGTTTTTTTTATTGTTGCAAACTACTTAGGGACCGTTTGGAATCCCTGTTTTTCGGCTTATCAGTCAACTTTTTCACCAAACACGTATTTTTTGCTTTCACCCGTTGAATTGTGTAATAAACAGAAAAAGTAAGAAATTTACGGACTTTTTTTACTGATAAAGTAACTGATATATACTTGTATTTCAGAATAAGTATAATACGCTTTGAAAATTACAAAGCTTTGAAAATTACAAAGCGTTTTCAACGTAATTTTCTGTTGAAATTTCAACGCCACACCTTTGGATGTACACTGGAGTAACAGTTCCACACACACTTTCTTAATATAAAGTATGAATAATTGTATTGATCTTGATAAATACAATATACCAGATGATGTTTATATACACGTATAAGTTATGAGGATAGCTAGTAAGATAATGATTACTATCTACAATTGTGGAGATAAAATAGTAGAATAACAAACTAGCTACTCGTATGTATGGTACGTAATAATAGAGATAATAATTAAGGATAATTATGTTGCTTCAATACGCCCCCGCAAGATGGAGGTTCCGTCAGAAACACCCAGCTTGGACCGAAATCTTTCAAATGGAACTTTACCTAGCGGTTTTGTGAGTATGTCAGCAATTTGAAACTTATTGGAAATGTGGCGAACTGAAAGTTGTCCAGATTCAACCAAATCACGAACAAAGAAGAAATCAAGAGCAACATGTTTCATGCGGGAGTGGAAGACTGGATTCACACACACATATGTCGCTCCCTGATTATCACATAACAACTGAGGAGGTTGAGATAGTTGGACTCCTAATTCCTGAAGAAGATTTTGTACCCATAAGATCTCAGCACTGGTATGAGCCACAGCCCTATATTCAGCTTCCGTAGATGATCGAGATACAGATTTTTGCTTTGCAGATTTCCAAGAAATAATGTTTGACCCAAGGTATAACACATATGCAGTGGTAGATTTCCCCCCATCATGAATTCCCCCCCAGTCCGAATCTGAGAAGGCAGTAAGAGTAAGGGGGGATGACCGTTTCAGGAAAAGACCAAAGTTCAAGGTACCTTTGAGATACCGTAAGATACGTTTAACTCCCTGCCAATGAACATCCATAGGTGCATGCATGTATTGAGATAACTTATTAACTGCAAAAGAAATGTCGGGACGGGTGAACGCCAAATATTGTAGTAGACCAAGAGCGCGTCGGTACTGTGTAGAATCAGCCGGATGCTGGCCATCCGTGACATGAGGAGGAGAACTGCTACTCATGGGGATGGCAGATTCCTTAGCTCCATCCATGTGGCACTCCTCTAGAATATGCAATATGTATTGGCGTTGAGTAAGAAATAGCCCTTCAGGATGTGGAATTGTTTCAACACCAAGAAAATGATGTAGTGAGCCAAGATCTTTAACTGAAAAACGTGTCGTGAGTTGCTGTATGAACTGTTCCAAAGCAGCAGGCTGATTTCCGGTGAGCACTATATCATCAACATATACAAGAAAGTATAACAAAATGTTATTGTGAGAAAAAATAAATAAAGATGCATCGGCCTTGGACCTCCGAAAACCAGCAGAAATAAGGAACCTCGACAGTTCAAGATACCACGCACGTGGTGCTTGCTTAAGGCCATATAAAGCCTTTCGGAGACGACACACATGTGTGGGGTGAGATGAGTCTTTAAACCCCGGCGGTTGCAACATATAGACTTCCTCCGACAAGGAGCCATGTAGGAATGCATTATTTACGTCCAATTGACGTAGTGGCCACTGACGGGAGAGAGCTATGGCTAGTACAATACGAATGGTGGCCGGTTTAGTAACCGGACTGAAAGTTTCGGCATAGTCACGACCAGCCTGTTGCAAGAATCCCCGGGCAACAAGTCGTGCCTTGTACCGTGCAATACTGCCATCAGCATTCCGTTTGATCCGGAAGAGCCATTTACATGTGATGGGTGTGTGATCAGTACGAGGAACTAGTGTCCAGGTATGGTTACGGTGTAGAGCCTCCATTTCCTCGTGCATGGCCTGATGCCACTTAGGATCCGCCAAGGCTTCTTTCACACTCGATGGTTCCAGGGCAGCCGGGCAGGTAATATAGGATGAAGAGTGGTGTGGTTGACAAACTGACTTCCAAAGTATTTGGGATTGGGATTACGTTGTCGGGTAGGTCGAGAGTGATGAGGTTGGGTAGATGAGGGGGGTGAAGATATAGTGCGATCAGCTGGTGAATTAGGAATGGTAGAATGGGAATTAGAGGAGTGGGTCGTATGGTTGTGGTTCATGATAGGGGTGGTAGAATTATTTTCATTATGGGAGGGGGTGGAATTAGTTGCATTATGGGGTGGAATAATGATGAGTGGGCCCGATGAGTGTGGAGAGGGGAAATTGGTTGAGGAGGTAAATGGGAGTTCGGTGTGATGGGATTGGGTGGAATTATTGGTTGAGTGATTCTGGGAAGGGGATAAGAAGGAATTTGAATTATTTGTGTGGGTTCCTGGGAGTGCGGTCGAAGAGATGAGGTTAGGCAGAGAAGGCGGTGGATTGATAACCGAGGGTGGGATATAATTATCCGCACTAACAGGAAAAGGTGGGGAACACGTGGCAGTAGGTGTGCATGGATTGCATGGGAGGTGAGCATGTTGGGTATAAAGCCGCATGTCACGAAAGGGATATATATCAGGAATAAATTTTACATGTCTGCTAGTATATATTTTATGCTGAGATATATCAAGACAAAAATAAGCAGACTGAGATAATGAATAACCCATGAACACACACGGAGTTGATCGGGGCTGAATTTTAGACTGGGTATATGGGCGTAACCAAGGATAACACAAGCAGCCAAACGGTTGTAATTTGGTATAGTTGGGCGGTGTTTGATAGAGGAGGAAATATGGGGTGTCATTGTCAAGGACCGGGGTAGGAAGACGATTTATCAGATAAACAGCAGTTTGGAATGCAAAAGTCCAATATTGAAATGGGACACCAGAATAATGAAGTAAGGAAAGCCCAGTTTCAACAATATGACGATGCCTCCGCTCAGCTAGCCCATTGTGTTCAGGTGTATGAGGCGGAGTCGTCATATGTGAAATACCAAAATTATTTAGATAGGCACGTAATTTGAGAAATTCTCCTCCATTATCGGAAAATAGTGTAGTGATTTTATGATTAAAGTATTTTTCCACTAACCTATGAAATTGTGGAAATACACTAGAGACATCCGATTTTTGTTTAAGAGGATACAACCAAATATAACGTGTGAAATAATCCACAAAGATGACATAGTACTTATGACCATCAACAGACTGGGTAGAAGTGCTCCAAACATCGGTGTAAATAAGTTCTAAAGGACGCCGAGCACTCATAGAATTAACAAAGAATGGCAATTTGGTACTTTTATTGACTGAACATGACATGCAATGGAACGAACTAGCAGAATTACATGGAAATTGTTTTTTATTTTTATTGACTAAATGAATAATTGTATTGATCTTGATAAATACAATATACCAGATGATGTTTATATACACGTATAAGCTATGAGGATAGCTAGTAAGATAATGATTACTATCTACAATTGTGGAGATAAAATAGTAGAATAACAAACTAGCTACTCGTATGTACGTAATAATAGAGATAATAATTAAGGATAATTATGTTGCTTCAATACTTAACACATCTTATCAACATTTTCGTCACTTAGATAGTTTTCTTTTACAAGACTGAGATTAGTTTTATATCCATGCCAATTTCTCAAAATGGTCCCACATGAGCTCACATACTCTACAATTTATGAGGAAAATTACTTTGGCATTAATCAAAGTACATAATGATCGATGTTAACATGACCATAGGTCCATAACACATAACAAAGTCCTATTTCTCATACACTATTTTTGGCAAGATATTTTTAGATAATACACTGGTGTGAAAACGTATGATGATTCTCATTCATCAACCAGTGTATCAGTGTATGATTCTCAATTTCTCATACACTGGTGTAACGTCCTGTGGTGTGAAAACTAGCATCTTAACTGAATTATAGTTTTATTTTTGTTTTTAACTGTAACGTCCCTAGTGACACTCACAAGTCAATTTTTTTTTTGGATCCTGCAAGTGATGATAGTTTCCTTCATTCAATTTTAAAAACATTAACATAACCCAAAAGAAGGATATCATACACGATTTTATTACAACAGCTAGACATCATTATTTCATTATTTGGGAGTAAAACTATGAGACAGAAAAGTGGAGGACAAACAAAAGTTGAACTAATAATTAATATAATTTGTGTGTTCTGTACGTAGCCTAGGAAGGATGGTGGTGACTTGCTGCATGGGTTTGGTTGCGGGCTCTTTCCTTCTCTTTGACTTCACTTCCTTGCTTATCATCTTCATCATCATATTCTATCCCTGCATCACATTGAGAAAGTGTCTTCAATGTGGCCAAAATAAATATAGATAAATAAACTTTGATGTAAAAAAGTGGCCGGAGTACTTGTATGATGCATTTGGTCATCATCATGGAGGGTGGTATTTCCTCCATAGATTCCTCCAAACCCTTCCTCTTCTGATCTTGTGGCATATCCTTCCCCAAATGACAACATCGCGTCCCTTAGCATACATACATATTAACCAATACATTGTTAAATTCATCATAACCAAACCCAAAAATGTTATTATAACTAATAACATTGGCATTTTGAACTTAAATTTAATGAACCCAGACTCTTTAGCCTTGTTTGGATGAGTAATAGTTGAACTTAACCACACAAATTCTGTTTTATGATAATTTTGCATTTTATCAAAAAAAGTGCAGATGAACTGGTCTATTTCATTTGGTTTATTTACATTTCAATTTCAACAACCAACTTTTATCTAGTTTAATTTAGTAATTTGTTAATTGACTAAATGCAACTTTCAAAATAGATCTGTATATTGACCTCTTTACAATACTGAGGTGATAGATCTAGTGGAGCCTTAAATGCAACTTTGAATTTAGAAATATAATGGCTTCATTTCATGACTCATGAGAATTGAAGGACTTATCAGTTCAAACGTGCTACACCCGTCTCTAGCCAACTTTAGTACAATTAATATTTAAATGAAATATTGCCACAATTACACAATTTTAATTAGTTCCTTTTACTAGACTTAACCAGTTCGGACTTCCGGTAGTGATAAACTACACATAGAACATAATTCTACCAGACAAAACCACTTCAAAACAGAGAAATGAGACCAAATCAGACAAGACAATAAAATCAAAGTCCAAGAAAAAACATCTTTCTAGTCACTTTTGTCATCTTTCTATTCATTTTCTAGTAAGTCATCTGGCAAACCATTTTCTTATTGATTGATAGGTGCTAGTTTGTGACAAAAAAAGAATTACACCGAAATTCTAATTTAATTTAATTATAAAAAGAGAATCCAAATTTGAAGAAAAAATCACGACTCAAAATCATGAATAGAAAAATTAATTTGATTACACAAATACTAAATTGAGAGAGTTGAATGGGGTGGAAAAACGTATACAATAATTGTTCTCGACTTTTTTTATTAGTTATCATTTGCACTATTGGACCAATATTGAATTAAACCACCATAATAGTAGTTAAAAAATAATATCAGTAATTAAAACTTAAGTAAATGAAAACTAAAAACATCATCAAATTTTCAAATATTTTAACATTATAATCATACGTCAAGGGGAAACAGTATAATACATGCATTTTTTGTCCTTATTTGAATTATTATAATCATATTTTCAGCTTTCCACATAACCAAATGGGGTAATGACGTTTTGATTGGATTGAAATTATTTGGTATGGTTGGTTTGGTCTAATGATGTTTTCCTTTTTCCGTAATGGTAAAATACTACGGACCAGACATTTACCAACTAGTCCAAAAAGAAAACAACCTAAATGAATCTAGCAGACATACTTATTCTATTTATGTATTTTATCTATATTTTACCTGTATAATAAAAGAAAATCTATACGGAGTATTATACGATAGTACTAGCTCTTAGAACAAAATTTTAAAATATCAATTCTTAGGAACATTAAGGTAGAGAGAGCTAGGCAGCCGCACAAACCCGAGTTTCGATCGTGGCGGCGGAGCAGTCGCCTCCGGTTTATCGGTTTCATTGGATTTGTTCTTACTCATGTCCATAGCCGCCGCGCAAATCCGGGATGATTTGATGGAGCAAGCCTTCGGCGCCGTGCAAAGAGGCGGTGATCGGGATGGTAAAATTGTCAACCGGAGAAAGGCGAGCATGTTAATTGAACTCGGGCGCTTGGTTATGTATATACAGAAAAAAGTGAAGTGAGAAGATATGATGAGGTGAAGATGGGCAGGACAGAGTAAGAATAATAGTTAGGGAGTATCCAACAATTTTATTTATTGATAATTTGTTGGTCATTCTCCCTCCCTCCCCACACTACATCTTTGTTTATGTGGAGCTTTTGCAGCTTACACGTATGCATCCCAGACGTTATTTAACCTGCCAGGTGTTCTTTTCTGGGGTGATGAGAGAATGCACCGCCACAACCTTATTTTATCATTATAAATGAGGACATCTGGTACGAATATACTTGTACAAGATAAGATATGTTACTACAAATGGTCAAATGTTGTTAAGCCTCAATTCGGACCCAACCAAGAAAATATAGGCGTTGTTTGGTTCAAAGGAGGGGAGGGAAGGGGAGAGTCTAAGGAGGGAAGGAAAGGGAAGGGGAAGGAAGGATTTCGATAAAAATTTGTGTTTGGTTGGAAGGAAATAGGAGGAAAGGTTTAATGAAAATATTTTCCCAATTTACCTTTATTTAATAGCTTACTTAAAAAAATATCGGCCGATAACCCTTAGTTTCGGATTGTCCGCCTTCGATTATATCGAAGGGCGAGTTTTCATTGGTTGTTTTGGGCGGTTCTGGTGGTAGGATAAGGAGGTGCTGGTTGGAGGTTTTGGATTGGTTTAGAGGGCGGCGGGCGTGGCTTTATATCCAGGCAGTCCGAGAGTTTCAGGAAGGAACAAAGAGTGCAGACAGCCGTTTTTGCTAGCAGAAGCAGCGGCTGAGGCGGGGGTTTACAAAAGGTTTATGGATACGTTGTTGATCGGTATAAGACGATGGTGATCGATGATGACGAAGAAGAACTGAATCTCGATGAAGGGGAGGTTGAGGGCAGTCCGGTGGAGGAGACGGCGATCGGTTTCCCAGTGATCGGCCAAGTTCTTACTGACCGCAAGGTCAAGTTTTCGGACCTCAAGGAGACGATGTTTTTGCTTTGGTGGCCAGGGAAAGGTATGTCGGTGAAGGAAATCGGAGAAAAAAGGTACATATTTTCTTAACCATGTACTCCGTACTATATAATTCAAAGAACATTTAAAAAAATCAATATTTTCTTTTACTTTTCTTACTCAATTACCTTACTTTTCTTACTTTTATTTTCAGTTTGATAATTTTACATCTTTCCTTCGATTTTTCTATACTATTCTTTACCCCGACTTATTTATAACCACTCACTAATACTCTTTCCATATCTGAATTCTCTTACAAATAGGGTTTTACACGGAGATTATGAAAGTAAAAATTGTGTAATGGAGAGTTGTGCTGATGAGATAAAAGTGTCAGAATGTATATGAAATATTTTGAATTAAAAATCTTTGTCAGAAGGGATAGAGAAGATTGTTTTGAGACGAACGAAAAATGAAAGTTAGAAGATAATTCAGGGATAACCTAGGTATCATATAAATCCAAAAATTTATTACCTCCCTAAGCCCCTTACCTGGATCCATCAACTCTCTTATTATAGAAATTGCTTAATATAGGATCAAAATAGAGAAATGGTTTAAAAATAGAGCTGCATATATTATAATTGTATTAAAAGAGTAAGTCAAATCAAACTTTTCAAAATAGAAATCAATGAGTAGTCTTATTTTTAAATTAAAAATAGGCAGGCCTCTTTGCCACCTCAACAACAAGCTCCAACCCCGGAAAAATACCAATTCGTGTCCGTAATGCCATCTTGATGGTAACTTAGAGAAAAAGTGGCTTTTTATTACACAAAATGATATTTTTCGGTGAGCGTGGCAGTGACAAAGGCTGTGGGAAAGGCCTCCATATATTTTTTTTTGTATGTTTTGTCTGTTTTATCTATTTTTTTTAATTTATATATAATTTTAAACTTTTTTTAGTTTTTTAAATTTTATATATTTTCTAATTTATTAACTCAACAAATGCGTATGGAGCCGAGCATTTTGAAGTGTTGAGGTTTGTTCGTTGTTGTTTCATCAACAATCTCGTTTAATTTTATATGATGACAGGAAAACCCTTTTTAGCTTCTATAAGTACAATAACAATTATACACATTTTAGTTTGACAAATCAAATTTAAACAAACTAAATTAGAGTTAGACTTAAGTGAACATAATTAGAACAGACGGAAACCAATCAAATAAAATTTTGCTTAACTAAAAACATCCATACTTGAACATTATTACTTCTACACAATTTTTATATGCACTTATATTTATTTATCAACTACGTTTACCTATTTATTTATTTAAACAAATTTCAACTTTCATTCAATATAGTATAGTTGTAATATTTGTGATCTCATACCATTATAAGTGTAAAAATTAAACGTATGATATGATTCTTACTACGTATTTGTTTTTGCTTAGATTAATTCTTATTCATTTATTTTGGACTATACAACACACACATTCAATATTATTTTGTCTAAATTTTACTTAAAAGACTATGAAAAAATCTTGCACAACACACGAGCGCTATACTAACCTTAATCTTAATAATATCTTATAATTTTCAATATTTAATACTATCGTATATTTATTTATCAAAATAAATTTGACTATTCAAATGTGCAAATACGTGAACTAGTTTATGCCTTATTCCGTTTATAATGTAATGTGTATCTATTATTTTTGGATAAACTGTAAATATATATATATATATATATATATATATAGACAACTTTTCATGTCCAGCCGGCCTGACGGGAACCGCCGTCCGGCCGAGGGCATTTGGGGCACTTCCCGATGGAATTTTTTGATGAAAGTTTTTGAGCATGTTCTTCATGAAGTCTAGTTTATTCATACCATATTTCAGCTAAAAATTCAACCGGGAAGGCATTCAAATAATTTCTTGAAGTTAACTGAGCAGTTCATCCATATAAACTGCGCAGTCAACTTCAAAAAATTATTTGAATGCCTTCCCGATCGAAGTTTGAGCTGAAATTTGGTATGGATAAACTAGACTGCATGAAGAACATGCTCAAAAAATGTCATCAAAAAATTCCATCGGGAAGTGCCCGAAATGCCCTCGGCCGGACGGCGGTTCCCGTCAGGCCGACTGGACAAGAAAAGGACTATCTCTCTCTCTCTCTCTCTCTCTCTCTATATATATATATATATATATATATATATATATATATATATATATATATATATATATATAATAGAGATCAAATACAAACCCTTCTTAATTTACAAAGTACAAACTCAACTTGACTATCCGATGAGTTGATCCAAAGGACATAAAGGCAAGGTGGCATTTTGTAATAAAACCCAACTTTTTTAGGGTGCAACTCGTTGAACGTTAATGTGCAACTGCTATTTTATAGTTGAATAATATGCACTACTTTGAACCTCAATATGCAATGCAAATAACGTCAGGGTGCATCGTACAAATATTTGCACGATAAGCACAGTTTGTACTTGATCTTTCTCATATATATATATATATATATATATATATATATATATATATATATATATATATATATATATATATATATATATATATATATCCTTGAATGTTTATGTACGAATGCACAACATCAAAAACATCTACGGGGCATTCCAGGCAAGAATCCCCTGTCACCACAAAAACCCATTTAGCTACATATACATGCTAGCCATCACAAAAATTGGTGACGAAACAACAAAAATCCAAATGTTACCATATAATATGGATACATTGAATAAAGCACTTTTTATACACCATATACTTTATATTTGCAACCATATCCAACACAGTAGTCTTGGCCCTCTCAAAGCATATATTATTCCTCATACGCGATATCCAGTAGATCGAATAACAAAAAGCTATCCTTATGGCCTTGGCTTTGACATGTGCTCCATTATGCTCCTTTTTAATCCATTTGACCGCACTTGAAAGTGTTGTCATTTGCCTCAAAAGCCCAAGTCATTCCCTCACTTTGCTCCAAACCTGTCCTATAAATGAGCACTCAAAATATAGGTGTGATACCGTTTCCGGACTACCCTTACAAAAATGAAAAACATTAACCATGTCTAGAAATCCCAACCTATCATATGTGGCTAACCTCCCCTGGAAGGCTAGCCAGGTAAATGTTAATTGTAAAGTATTTAGAGATGATAAACATTATTCAAAATAATAATAATGTGCATCTATTATAAATGTTAATTGTAAAGTATTTAGAGATGATAATAAAAGTTTAATTAGCACATCAATTACAAATTGTTGAAGACTTTGTGGGCAACCTATTTTGTTGTTTTTCAAATTTCTTGTTCTTCATCGCATATCACGAACCTATAAGTCAAACACATTTGTCACCTTCGAATCCGCACCATACAATTGTGCACACGTAAGAAGAGGATGTGAGAAATTCCTAACGATTTTCTACGATTACCCTTGACTCTTGCTTTTTTGGAATAAACGTTTGCTACCTTTCAAAGCTATTTTTGCAATTTTAATGATTTTTAACTTTGAGCACATATATAGTGCATATGTACGTTGACCTTGTACTGTATAAGTTTGAAGCACATTTTGTTTTGGGATGTCTTTTTGGTAAGTTTCTCATATTGAATAACTCTTACTTTTCTACTTTTTATCCTCTCTTTCATATTTTCACACTTTTTCCCTATTTTTTCTACATTATTCATTATCCTTCACTTTTTTTATAATTACTCAATGATACTCCATCCCTGAATTAGCTTACATATATGTAGGGGCGTAGCTAGGGAGGGGCCAATCCTTGCCCAGGCCCAACCCAAATTCAAAAAATGTCTATATTTTCAATGTAAAAAATTCGTGTAAATGTTTTCCCACAAATATTCTTTGTATCGGTCAAGTGCCTTGGGTCTGCCCCCACAAATATGGTTTTACACGAAGATTAATAAAATAAGAATTGTGTGATGGAGAGTTGTGCAAAAGAGAAAGAAATGTGTAAGAGTATATAAGAAATTAGTTTATTAGCTTATTATATCTCTAACTATAATGAAATTCACAAATCTATTTTTTCTTTACTTTTTATTAAAAATGGGTCAAATGTTATCTTGTATAACAAACACACTTTTGCGTTGTGATTTTTTAAAATTAAAAATTTATATCAATTTCAATAATTTTTTTATGCAAGAATTAAATAATTAATGTTTAGGAGAACATCACTTTGCACTCTATCTTTAGGGTGATATTTGGATTTGTACTTCATTTTAAAAATCATTAATGCATGCATCCTATTGTCCTAAAAATTATGGAGGATCGAAGTGCAAAGTCAAATAATATTATAGCGAATTGGGATGCATACATTTATAATTTTGAAAATAAAGTCCCAATCAAATATCACGCAGAACATAAATTGCAAAGTTAAAATCGTCCTAATTTTTATTAATTGTTTAATTCTATGTTTTTTAGAGAATTCACAAAAACTTTAATCGTATCTTAGAATATTAATCCTATATTATTATCTATAACTTATAATTTTCAAAAAAAAAAAACAGTCCTTCCGTCCCCCTAAGTTTGGAACAAAGGGGTGTGGTGTGATTTTTAATAAAAAGTAGAATCGTGTGGTTGTATTGAATTGATAAAGTGTAAATAAAGTAGAAATGAATTCTAACCACATATTACCAAATATGGTATGAGACAAACTTAATGGAACGGATAAAAAAGGTAAAACGAGACAAAATTAGGGGGACGGAGGGAGTATAAGATAACTATAAAATGATACTTTAACTTGTCATTGAATTAACTAGCTAGGTCATATATATTTATGTTTTTATTGAAGTTGCTAAAGTAGTTTAATCACTAATACTACCTCCGTCCCATTTATATTGGGACGGAAGAGGGTGACACGATTATTAAGAAAAGTGAGTTTGTGCGATTGATATTAATTGATAAAGTAAGAATAAAGTAAGAATGATTTAGAGCCACACAAACTTTACCAAATATGGTATGAGACAATTTATGTGGGACTTCCCGAAAAGGTAAAACGGGACAATATAAATGAGACGGAGTGAGTTCTGAAGTGTGTTTCTTTCCTTTTTTTAGTAAGTGGGGAAAAAATTGGGACGGCCGAAAAATGAAAGTTGGACAATTTTTTGGCATGAGGATTATTAAATAGTCACTCTTAACAACATTGGCGGTTGATTTAAAAAATAAAGTATTGACGGTAGTTTAGTGGAAAACAAATGAATTTGGCCTATGTATTTGCCTGGCTAAACAAGAGTCTTATCTCGTTAATGACTAGGCATTTAGGCTGTGTTTTATTTAGTTTTGCGGATGTAAATCCCACATCGGAAGCAAAGGAAGAATTCCTCCTAAAACACTATTATAAGAGACAGAGACGTCCCCCCTCGACGTTTGAAATTATATGAGAAGTTTCTCCTCCGTTTTTGATGCGGGAGCAGATGGACAGTGGCATCCCTTACCTTCCACAAGAAATCCTCACAAACATTCTTCAACGGCTTCCAGTGAAATCTCTGCTCCGATTCCGATGCGTGTGCCGTTTTTGGAAGAATCACATCAACTCCCCTTCCTTCATCCTAGACCACCTCACCTATTCAAAGAATCAAATCCCTTCTCTGATTACTGACTTCGAAGGCATTTCGAATTTGTATTAGCTCGGCCAGGACATGGAACTCCGCTGCTTTTTGGACGGACATCCGACCGGTTTCATTGGGACCTCCACGATTGTCGGCTCCTGCAACGGCTTGCTCTGTGTTCAAACCCGTGTGTTTCATACCCTCCCTCCTACACTTTATATATTGAATCCTGCGATTCGAGAGGTTATGCAGGTTCCCAGAATTAGAACAACTAGTGATGTTGTAGGTTATAGTTTTGGATTTGGATTCAGTCCATCTGTTAACGATTACAAGATTGTGATAATCTATATGGGGGCGCTTGTTGGGCACAATGTGATGATTGGTAGAGTTGCAGTTTGTTCATTAACCACAAAGTCATGGAAAGACATAGAATTCGGAATTGTAAAGGGTAGATCCTTTTGCTCTCAGAGCCTCAATGTTGATGGATCGATCTTTTGGTTAGCACGTAATGTCTTGATATTTGAGGGATGGAAATTTATTGCTCTTGCCTTAGTTTCATTTGATTTAGCATTGGAAGAGTTCAAAGTGATACCAACACCTCTTTCACGCGGGGAGGGAGTAGCTAAGCTGGCCGTGTATGAGAAGAGACTTGCCCTACTACATTCCTCTTTTGCTCCAAACTCTGTTATTGATTTGTGGGTGATTGAGGAAGGCATTGGTGCTTCTTGGAGTAAGATGTTTACCTTTGGCCCTTATCCATACCATTTACGACCATTGACCATTTGTAGGAGTCAAATTGTCGGCACTATTTTTTACACTGGTAAGTTTCAATTTATGGAGGAGGAAGGGGAGAAGAAGGAGAAGAAGGATGATATTTTTTTTATCAATCTCACTTCTAATGAATTTAAGGTCATTGCTGATAGGAGATATGGACGTAGTGGTTGTTCTTTTGAATATGTTGAAAGCCTTTTGTCTCCGAGCAATATCGAACTTCGGAAGCCTTGATTCTAATGCCTTATGGACTAGAAGATATTTGAGATATTAAAGAAGATTTTGGTGTTCATGTTTGTTCATTGTTTATGAAACAATTGTCTATGAGCTGAGCATTTTGAAGTCTTGAGGTTTGTCCGTTTATTGTTCATCAACAATCTCGTTTAACTTTATATGGCAAGAGAAACCTTTTTAACTTCTATGAGTACAATAACAATTATACAGTTTTTTGTTTGAGAAATCAGATTTAAACAAACTGAATCAAACTTAAATTTAGTGAAATTCACATACTGAAGATATCTAACATACCGGCTCAAACTGGACTAACATAAATAGAACACATGGAACCCAATCACATAATTTTAGTTTAACTAAACATCCATGCTTGAACATTATTACTTCTACACAATTTTATATGAACGTATATTTTTTTTGAACATATATGAACTTATATTTATTTATCAACTTACGTTTACCTGTTGCACCTTTTGTTTAAATAAAAACAACAAAGTTCAGCTATCATTCATTATAGTATAGTTGTAGTATTTGTGATCGCATACCATTATAAGTGTCAATGAAAAAAATGAGAAAGATAAATGTAGCTAGTGTGATGGATAGTTGTGAAAGAGAGAGAAATGTGTAAGAATACGTTAGAAATAAGTTTATTAGTTTATTGTATCTCGAACTATAACGAAATTCACAAATCTATTTATTCTTCACTTTTTATTAAAAATGACTCAAATATCTTTTATAACCAAAACACTTTGGCGTTGTGATTAAATTACAAGTTTATATCAATATCAATGGTTTTTATATAAAGGAATTAAATAATGTTATTTTTAGGGAGAATATCATTTTTCACCATATCTTTTGGGTGATTGGATTTGCACTTCATTTTAAAAGTTATTAATGTATGCACCTCATTAGCCTAAAATTTGTGAACGAGTAAAGTGCAAAGTCAAATAATTTTATAGTGAATTGAGGTGCAAAGTCAAATATCACTTAGAACATGGGTTGCAAAGTCAAATTCTTCCTAATTTTTATTAATTGTTTAATTCTACTTTTTTCAAGAATTAACAAGAACTTTAATCAAATCTTAGAATATTAATCTTATATTATTATCTATAACTTAAAATTTTCTAAGAAAATTTATAAGATTAATATAAAATGATACTTTAAGTTGTCATTGAATAACTAGGTCATACATATATGGTTTTATAGAAGTTGCTAAGGTAATTTATTCAGTAATATTTATTGTTTAATAAATTTGAGCTATTTTTTTATAGTTGTATGTTACTATTTCTAATAGTTAATATAAATTAGGAATCCTTGTGTTTTTTGGTAACTCTTATTTAATATAAATATACCTGTCAGGACTCCTATTGGAGTACCTTTTCCCATTATTTCATGATTTAAAACATTCAGCTGCTATCAGGACTAGACTTCAGACTAGATTTATGTCTGCCAGTTTACCCCGATGCATGGAATTTAAACGATTACTGTCATCTCTTAAAAAGAAAGAGACCCAATCAATGGAAAGTTATTTAAGGGAAATAACTTAAACCAAAGTGAATAATGGGCCTGGTTTGTACCAAGTTTGAAACCAAGTGGATTTATTTTTTGTCCCATAAATACCTCCTATTCTGGATATCAGAATATGCTTTACTGGATAATATAAAAAAAGACAGCGAGAATCTCCCCTTTTTCTTATTACATTTATTGAATTAATCTTGCGCTTGCGGACAGTTATTTGTAATTTGAAAAGTTGCTCTCGCGGCAATTAATTCTCCTGTCTCGGATAAAGAACTACTTCAATCTATTCTCGTTGGCTTGGGACCGGATTATAAGCCTCTTGTTACTACGGTCTCTTTATTTCCCGAGCAATTTCCTTTCCATATTTTGGAACCGCGTTTACTAGAAGCAGAACAACAACTCCTGTCTGAGCGTCAACAACATGCAGCCATTGGTCATCAAGCATTTGCGGTAGCTGCAGCTGGGGGGCAGCCACTGACTGGATATGCCGCTCGCGGCAGGGGAGGCCGCGGCAGGGGACGCGGTCGCCAGGGCCGGGGTCACGGCAGAGGACATCCACAGCAGCATTATGGCTTTCAGCACAAGGCCGTGCCATACTTTGGTGCACAGCAGCCGGCAGGACCTCAGCCACCTCATGGTGGATCCCCGGCAGCATCTGGGTCTGGCCAGCAGCAGGGATTCGGACAGCAGGTCTTCGCACAACATCAGGCTTCTATTCAGGGGGTGCAATCTACTCGCCCGGGCACTTCAGGTTCTGCTAGTAATTCTGTTTTGTCAACTTTAAATATTAATCCCTATTTTATTTATGATACTCACGCTAGCTCTGCAGGTTTTTCATCGGGTGAGGGCATTCTTGGGTCTGTTCCACCGCCTGTTGTCTGTCAGCTTTGTTTCTCTGCAGGTCACTCTGCGCTTCAGTGTCCTTCTCGGTATGCTCCACCGTCTGCGCCAGCTCTATTGACTTCTAATGGTCACTCAAATACTGCTTTATGGTATCCTGACTCTGGAGCTTCAGCTCACATGACTCCTACAGAAGGTATTTTAGTTAATAAATCAATTTACACTGGACCACTTTCTGTTAGTGTTGCTAATGGCTCTAAACTTCCCATTGCTAATATTGGAGATGTTCATTTAAATTCTTCACGCTAAAATCTGTTTTTCATTTGCCTCACATTAAATTTAATTTGTTATCTATTCAAAAACTTTGTGCTGATAACAACTGTGTCATAATTTTTGATAAAAATTCTTTTTTTGTTAAGGACAAAATTTCGGGGAAGGTCCTTCTGGAAGCTCCTAGTCATGGTCATCTCTATCCAGTCAGCCTCCATCCTCAGCCACCGTTTGCCTTGTCTTCTCTAGCTTTGTCTGGCCCCATTTGGCATCGTAGATTAGGCCACTGTGGCACTTCTATTTTACGTACTTTACAAAGTCAGCACCATATCTGTAGTAGCTCTAGTTTCTCTCATGACTGTATTTTTTGCCGATTAGGCAAATCTTAACGTTTACCCTTTATGGATGCTAGTCATAATTCTACTATGCCTTTGCAATTAATTCATTCTGATGTTTGACAATCTCCTGTTTTATCCAATTTGGGATTTAAATATTATGTCTGTTTTATTGATGATTTTTCTCGCTATACTTGGTTATACCCCATGCGCACCAAGGCAGAAGTCTTTCTTCATTTTAAACATTTTAAAGCTTTAGTTGAAAATCTTTTTAATACTAGAATTAAAATTTTTCAAAGTGATGGAGGGGTGAATTTGTAAATTCTAATATGCAGCAATTTTTTGATATTCATGGAATTTATTTTCGCAAATCATGTCCAGACACACCTCAACAAAATGGGGTTGCTGAACGTAAACATCGACATCTACTAGAACTCACTAGGACTATGCTTCTTGAAGCTTCTATTCCTAGTCAATTCTGGGTAGATGCCATTTTTACGGCTGCATATATTATTAATAGGCTGCCCTCTCCTTTAGTTGGTCACTCTTCTCCATATGAAAGACTTTTTCAAAAATCTCCGGATTATGCCTTCATGCGTGTGTTTGGGTACTCTTGTTTTCCCAATATTTCTGTCTCATCGTTGTCTTGAACCTAAGTCACGTAGAGTATATGTCAGTCGTCATGTTAGATTCTTTGAAAATATTTTTCCTTTCACCTCCTTACGTTCTTCCTCACCTGAGTCATCCCCCTCCAATTCTACTTCTACTGCCAATTCCGAGTTCTTCATCACTAATACTCTTAGGCCGCATATACCCCAACCTCGCCTCACTTCCCAGGTCCCCTTATCATACTCACTGCCTATATCATACTCCCCTTCTCTTGCACATAGTAAAAATTCACCCACGGTCATCTGCTCTTCAGAAACACCCGAGACCAGCCCCATTCCCACACCTTCGGTCCTCCCAGTCAATGCCCAGATCAGTCCACCACCCTCGGCCACCTCAACCCACGACCAGTCCAGTCACCAGTCCAGTCCACCATCATCCCCACTCTTGGCCACCTCGGCCGGTTCAGACTCCTCTCCCACCACCAGCCCACCTATGCCCCGATTTAATTTACATCCTATGCAAACCCGAGCCAAGGTATTTTTAAACCCAAATCAATTTTTACGTTAAACACAGTTGTTAGTGCAGCTGATTCGACTTGTTTTTCTGAGGCACAAAAACATTTAATTTGGCGTGAGGCTATGGCGGAAGAATTTAATGCACTTATTTCCAATAATACTTGGGATTTAGTTCCATTTGATAGCTCTAAAAATGTGGTTGGGTCTAAGTGGATTTATAAAACTAAGTTTAACTCCGATGGGTCTATTGAGCGCCATAAAGCACGTTAGGTTGCTCAAGGATTTAATCAGCAGGCTGGCGTAGATTTTTCTGAGACTTTTAGTCCTGTTGTTAAACCCACCACTGTTCGTATTGTTCTTACTCTTGCTATTTCTTTTGGGTGGGTTATGCGTCAATTAGATGTCAAAAATGCATTCCTTCATGGTCATCTTACGGAAGAGGTCTATATGCGTCAGCTGCGGGGTTTTGTTCATCCACAGTTTCCTCATCATATGTGCCGTTTGCGAAAGGCCATATATGGTCTCAAACAGGCCCCGCGAGCATGGTTTCACCGTTTTAGTAGTTTCTTACTTACTCATAATTTTGTGTGTAGTAAGTCAGATAATTCTTTGTTTATTTACCTTCATGGTCAGTCAATTATGTATTTATTATTATATGTGGATGATATTATTATTACTAGCAATTCTCCATCTCTACTGTCCTCTTTTATTACCTGTATTGCTTCTCACTTTGCTATGAAAGATCTCAGTGATCTTCATTATTTTTTGGGAGTCCAGGATGTTCGAAATTCTAAAGGAGTTTTCTTGTCTCAACAAAAATATGTTTCTGATCTTCTCCTTCATTTCCACTTACATACTCTCAAGTTTGTTCGTACCCCAGTCGCCACTCGTACATCTCTCTCCCTCACTGATGGTGAACTTCTTGCTGATGCTACGGAATATCGTAGTATGGTAGGTGCATTGCAGTATTTAACTTTGACAAGCCCTGATATTACTTATGCAGTTCATTTAGTGTCTCAGTTTATGCATGCCCCACGCACCACTCACATGCTTGCTGTCAAGCGCATATTTCGTTATTTGCAGGGTACCATTGATCATGGATTATGGATTCAAAAGTAAGCCCGTTCCTTGTGTATTTTCGCCTATTCCGATGCTGATTGGGCAGGCTGTCCAGATACTTCCCGCTCTACCACAGGTTTTGCTATTTTTCTCGGTCCTAACCTTGTATCTTGGAAGTCCAAGAAGCAACCTACGGTGTCCAAGTCTTCTACAGAGGCCGAATACCGAGCCATAGCATACACAGTACAGGACACCCTTCACATACGTTCAGTCCTATTTGAGCTCGGTTACTCTATCCGTGACCCTGTGCATTTATTTTGTGACAATATCTCGGCTTCCTATTTGACTGCTAATCCTGTTCAGCATGCTCGCAGCAAGCATATTCAGATTGACTATCATTTTGTTCATGAGCGAGTTGCTCATGGTGATCTATTGGTGAAGTATGTTCCCACACACTTGCAACTTGCGGATATATTTACTAAAGCTCTATCTAGTCAGCAATTTACTTTCTTGAAAGACAACCTGCGCGTTGTATCTCCCACACAGCTTGAGGGGGGTGTAATAGTTAATATAAATTAGCAATCCTTGTGTTTTTTTAGTAACTCTTATTTAATATAAATATACCTGTCAGGACTCCTATTGGAGTACCTTTTCCCATTATTTCACAATTTCACCCTTCTAGTATATAAGTTTCACCACATATAATTTTGAGAAAATTACCTTGGGTATGAGTAAAACTCCATTAATTTCTCAATCTATTACCTAACTAGTTTTTTTCCCAAAATAATATTTAAAATTCTAATGAGTTTTAGTCATATCCCGGGAAATTTCCCTATAATTTTTGTAATTGTATAGTAGAAATATGGTCTTGTATAAAAAACATTAAGCGATACGAATTTGCCAACTTGAAGTGAGAGAGGAGTAAAAAATGAAATAGAAATAAGATCTTCTCCTTCTTCTTCAATGCTTAATACATAATCCTATTTAAATCGTAATTGTGAGAAAAGTTGAAGTTTAATTATTATATATATATATATATATATATATATATATATATATAAAAGTTAAAGAATGAGTTACTATACATTTGTGAATTTTATGATAGTTGAGGTTAAATTAAGCTCATAATCTTAAGAAATATTGTACTCCGTATGAAATACTGCAGTGAATTACAAATTCTTTGTGAAAATGGGAAATATGTGATTATTTTGGGACGAATGAAAAATGAAATAGGAAAATAATTCAGAGACAACATGAGTACTGTTCAAACCCAAAAATTTATCATTGATTTAAAGTTTGAAAGAATGACACAAATATTACTCTTCAACTTGCATTGGATAAAAATATAACAAAATTATTTTAGACAAATAATTGTCCGAAACCAAATCCGTTTTTTCCTTCTACGCAAACCATCTTCTGCACTGGAACAAAAATTGCCGCCAGGTGCAGAGAAGTGTTAGGAATTAAACTCACGCACACGAAGAACAATTAAAGATCACACGAAATTTGGTAACCCAGTTCGCCACGAATGACTACGTCTGGGGGTGCTACCAAGCCAGGAATTTTATTGTTATTTTCGGATCCAAGGGATTACAAGGGAAAGAGGTTCTATTTATAGAGAGTAAAACATAATCCCTAATTAAAGTAGAACACACGTTTTCTAAAAAAATTAGTAAACCGTACGGCCCAATCTGTACGGAACTGTATGGACTGTACTGAAAACTTGATCGTCAAAAATGGACCAAAAATTTCGGATAGAACTTGGTTATACAGTCTCTAACACCTTACAAGAAGACCTCTCTAGGATGTCGCCATCGCCCTCTCTCAGAGGGATGCTCGCTCTCCGCAGCCATCGCTCTCCGAAGATGGATCCTCGCTGCCGCCCTCGCCGCCGCCTCTGTCTTCATCCCACACACTTCTTTGGAGAAGTCTTCTTCCCTACCGTTCAGATCTGTGACGATGTCTTGTGGCGCTACGATGGCTTGGTCAATCAATTAGTTCAAACTTCAAAGAAAGAAGATTAAAATTCCTTGCCTTAGAAAGTAATATTCCTAACAAAGTATTCCCTTCATCCCAGTTTACGTTTCTTACTATTTTTTTCAGGTTCCCCCAAAATAGTCGCCTATTTCTTTAGTTTTTTGGAAAGCAATACGTAATGCACAACATTTCATCTTATTATACTCAAAATTCAATAGAAACTTTTACTTTTCACTTACTTCATTGACCATTGTAATTGTGTGTAAACCAAAACAGGACACATAAAAGGGGATGTGGGTAGTAGTATAAGTAATTTGTAAACTTTCAATATGAAAGTTGAAACATAATTCAGGGATAATAGGAATATCATTTAAACCCAAAAATTTATCATTCATTAAAAGTTTTGCTTCGATCCATAAACTCTGTTATTATAGATATTGCTTAATATAGGATCAAAATAGAGACAAAATTAAAAAATAGAGGTGGATATATTTTAGTTTTCAAATGAAACTTATTTATTCTTATTAAAAGAATAGGTCAAAATAAACTTTTCACAATAGAAATGAATGAGTCCTATTTTGAAAGTAATATAATAGTAGTCTTATTTCTAAACTTTATGCTTCTTTCATCCTATTTATCTCTATCTAATTTATATTTTTCATTTGATCATCTTCTTTTATCTTCAAAATTTAAAGCTAATGGTTGCCACAAAATTAATTTGGGAAAATCTCCAGAATGGGACTAAGTAAAACTTTAATTGAAAGAATAAGAGAATAAATTTTAAATTCACTAAATACGACTATCTTTCCTGTCTTACCCATGCTTTGTTTTAATACAATTCATATTTTATTAATAATTAACAAAAAAGTAATAACATAACTTTTATATAAATAAAGAGAAAAGTGGAAAATAGACCCTCCAACTATTTGCATATTTGCAATTGAGCCCCTAAACCTATTGACCTCACTAATACACACTTTAACCCGAAAATGAATGCAATTGGACCCTTTTGACATGTTCTGAACCGGT